TCAGGAACCAGGGGTGGGGAGCGGGCCTCAGAAATACGTCCCGTGAGCACCCAGGACATGTAATTCCTCGTGGAACCATCATCACCACATGGAGGAAGGGGGAGAGAATAGCCTGGAACAAACCGGAAGGAATGGGCAAAGGAGACATCTGTCACCCACATGCAATCTAGTTATGGCAATGAACAAGATCCCTCGTGGCTGCTCTCTGAGAGGCTGGCCTCTGATTCTTTAGATTGGAGAACGCAGCTTATTTGAATAATGTTATTTTTGTTTGGAATTTCATGTAACTTTATCAAACAAGAGTGTCATATAGTCAACCACAGATGAAAGTCACTGGTCTAAAGTCTAATAGGATCTAAAGTCTAATAGGATCAAAAAGATCAGCTGCAGAAACTTCAGTGAAAAGCAAAATATGAGCCATACAAACCTCTGAGCCCCTAGCTCAAAGTCGTGAATGGAGTGGACGGCTGGCTTGCCCACCTCAGAGTCCCGTCAGCTGCCAGAGGTGGAAACTCTGTCCCAAGAGGGTCCTGTGAAGTTGTAAAGCCACCTGGACCCCCACGGGAAGCTCAGCCCCCAAGATCAAATTTGAAAAGAATATGTGATGACACAGGAGAAATACTTATAATTTTATATCAAGTGGAAAAATCAGAACAAAAATTGCATACAGTGTGACCTCAACTGTGTAAAATATATATATGGAACGATAATAGCAAGCAACACACTAAATATTGCCAGTGCTTTTTGTAGATCACTAAGACTGTAAGTTTTTTCTTCCTTGGCAAGAACTTCATGATTGCATGAGTAGAGGAGCGTTGCATGAGATTCTCCCCAATTTCTTTCCCTTCCAAAGAATGGAAATTGGGCCCAACACTCACCTATGCCTAACCATAAGTTATTGGATGTTATTGTTTTGGTCAAGACTGAAATAACCTTTCAAGTTAAAAAAAAAAAAAAGTAATTAAAAAATTAGCCAGGAGTGGTGGCGCTCACCTGTGGTCTGGCTATTCAGAAGACAGAGGTGGGAGAATCGCTTGAGCCCAGGAGTTCAAAGTTGCAGTGAGTTACGATAAAGCCACGGCATTCCAGCCTGGGCAACAGCCCAAGACCCTGTCTTTAAAAGTAAAAAATAAAACGTGAGTCGATTTCTATTAACATATTAAATAAAGAATAATATAATTAGTACTTGACTATGGCAAACAACTAAGGTTTAGGAAACTCTACATTAGAGTATTCATCTAAAAAAAACTTTAAACATATATACGAATGTCTGATTTGGTGAGGGGTAATGCATTTTCACTCTTGAAATTCCTATCCCAAAAAGGGGTAGCCAAAGAGAGGGCCACAGAGAGGGCAGAGCCCCACAAAGAGCATGTGGGTGGCCAGCAGAAGAGAGAGATAAAACTCACCTCTGACCGTCCAGGTTTTAAGGACTGGCTACCGTAGAGAACAGTCCATGTACCGCGCGCTGCTTGCGGGACAGAAGGGACCCCTGGTGGAACTGCCTTTGGGCGTCACACCCCAGGGGCTGGAGTGCGCGCGCCCTTCTTCCCAGGAGGTTCACGCTGCCTCTGGAAATGCTCGCGTGCAGGTCCAGCGGAAATGGGCCACAGTTGCCCTCATTTATGCTGGCCTCCAGGTTTCCAGGCAGCTTATCCCGTTGGCTCCTACAGTATCCGCGAGCATGAGCCGGTGTTTTGGCCTCATTTCACTAATGAGAGACAAAAGTACCTGAGACCCAAGGCCTAAGTATACTAGTGACAGTACTAAGACTGGAACTAATATTAATAATAACTCGAAGGGTGAATTCCCGACCGATAACAGCAAACAGTAATTCAGACCAACTTTATTCTGCTTTGACAACTAAAAAGCTGAAAACAGTAAATTCCTAACCAACCAATGGAAATTTCTTGGAATATATACATAAGAGGAGTAATTGCCAAGCCCTCTCTGTTACTTTGCCCAGCATATTTAAATTTTAGGGTTATTAATAGATTCAAAGTCATAATAAAATTATCCTGCCCCTCTTCTCCAATAAATTTAAATAATCATCCAGCACAGTGGTGCACTCCCTGTATGTCCCGGCTACTCGGGAGACTCTAGCGCGGAGGATCGCTTGAGCCCGCGAGTTTGAGGCTGTAGTGAGCTATGATGACCCACTGCACTCCAGCTTGGGCAACAGAGAAAGACCCTATATTCCAAAAATAATAATAATTAAATGTAAAATAATATATAATTGATGATGACGATAATATTCCTAAATGATAATCACTTTGCCTCAGTGTTGGGATTGTCACTAAGGATGCAAAGGTAAATAACTTGAAAGAAAATCCACAAGACTTTTTGGTAGATTATCTTTTGGAAAGAAAAGGGATAAATCAGTGGACATATCATTGTCACCTTTACCTTTGTTGCTGTTGTTTAAAGCACTTGTTTTATGTTTTTAATAAAAGGATGGATTATTCAAAGGTAAAAACAAAAAAACCTGCTTTACAGACCACCGAGAGCTAACAAAAATAATGAAAAACAGCAGCTACGAGTCCAAAGGAAGAAGGAGGCCCAGAGGCTGAGGCTTATTCCGTTGATTCCTTTAGTCCCCAGAGATATTTGCTATTCTGCAAGAGGTCTCAGAGAGCTGAGTGGCATTTTGAGAGTTGCACAGGGCTAACGGGTCAGGAATTGAATCTGAAGGCCCACCAAGAGTAGGACTGGGACTTGCCTTGCACCTGGACTTCCGAAGGGGTTCTTCCTACAAGTAAAGAAGCAGACAGGCCCTGTAGTCTACAGCTCAGCTTCATAGGCATTCTAGAAGCCCTAAAGGTTTAATTTACGTAATCCTGGAGTTGTTGGTGACCCAGGACGCCCAGCAAGAAGGCAAACACAAATCTTCTTAAGGAGGAAATATCATCAATCTGACCTCATTAATTCTGCAAGCAATTTAACAGAATGCAGTGTCCAGAACACATAAAAATAAGGCACAAATATACAAAGAAGTATTTTTTTAAGAGAAAAAAGGAAGACACTAAAATAGAAAATCAGCAAATGATGAAACAATAAAAACAGATCCATAGAGGCCCTAGATAGTTGGATAATCAAAGATTTAAGTAACTCAAAGAAATAAATGAATAAATAAGACTGAGAATTTGGCAAAGAACCAAAAGAACCATTCTAAAAGAAGTTCTAAAGAACCATTCTAAAAACCAAATGAAGAATGTTTAAAACTAAAAAATAACAATAACCAAAATTAAGAACTCAAAGGACATTTTAGTTTTAAAACATTGCATAATGCATTTATGTCACAGGATTATCCAGAATACAACAGGAGACAAAAAATGAAATACAAACTGATAGGGAAGAACATAAAACACAAGAGATCTAACATGTGGCAATTAAGGCCCAGGTAAAGAGGAGAAACTGCAGAAGCAATATTTGAAGAGATATACAGTTGAGAATTTTCTTAAAACTGATGAATGATTCATCATACCACAGATTCAGATCCCACCAAAGCCAGGCAAGATAAATAAAAAGAGACTCACACCTAGGCGCATCATTTAAAAAGACTCTGAAGCCAGGGCAGTGTGTGTGCTGAATTCCAGCTAACCTTGGAAAGCCCAAGAGAGAATGCTGAGACCCAGAAGTTTGAGCCAGCCTGGGCAACAGAACAAAATCCTAGCTCTAAAAAAAATAAAAATAAAAAAAATTGTTTTAAATAGAGACAAAGACTGCTGAAGCCAGGCATGGTCACATGTGCCTGTAATCCAAAGCTAATCAGGAGGCTGAGGCAGGAGGATTGCTTGAGTCCAGAGTTCAGGTTTTGAGTGTGCCTATGAGCATGCCTATAAATAGCCACTGCACTCAAGCCTGGGCAATGTAGTGAATCCATCTCCTAAAAAACAAAAACAAAAACAAAAAAACAAAAGACCTGCTGAAAACCAAAGATTAAAAGAAAATCTCAAGAACAGCTGAAGGGATGGGGCACTGGGAGACAGGTCACTTAAAAAGAGTACAGATATAGACTGAAGCTGACCCTCCATCAAGCACAATGGAAGCTAAAGGATAATGAACTGTTCTTCAATCTGTTGGAAAATAGCTTATCTCCTGATTCCAAGTCCAATTCTTTTTTATACTGCAATATGCTGCCACCCAAGGTTTCATTTCTTGTGGCTTTTAAAGCTGGACAAACTGAGTTTGCATCCTAGCTGTCAGATGTTACATACCTGACTTCTGTCTTTTGAAACACAGGTGTAAAATTTAATACAACATTTATATATAAGCATCTGCACTTACCAGCTGCTCAGCAAAACTAAATCCCTGCTCTCACACTCTTTCCTTAATCTCCCTTC